AACGTGTATATCGATATCTGGGCATATTGCCGAAGTATATGCTCAGAAGGACGGTCTTCGAAGTGACAGTGTATGAGAAAATGAAATTTATAACTTCAGTTTAAATTTATAACTGTAAATTTATAACTTCAGTGTTTAAGAAAAGTAGTATTTCCTGGGATATATCTAAATAATTGAAATTTTAATAAATTATAGGTCCGTGAAGTGTTTTGTTTATAAATTAAGCTTTATTACAGATTCGGTGGAATTATATTCTCTAGCACTTAAGATAACTATATGTGCATGGCTGCTAAATATTAGTCATTCGCTCATCGGGTTCATTTGGAACGCTTGAAAATGCGGTTTCGTAGTTTTTATAGTGTTTAATGTAATTACAGTCCAAATTCTATAGGAAAATCTTCCAAAACTTTATCCATCCTATTGTGCAGTTATTTCAAACGTTTTAAGCCATAGTTAAATCAACATCTGCAGCTTGAATTTGAAATCTGGAATAAACTAAATTGGAGTGCAGCTCTCTGCAACATTTATAATGTAATTACCAAATTACTGATTCATTTCTTGGAAGAATAACCTGAATTTCAGCCTTATTTTTAGTCACAATAAATCAGTGTATGAAGTTTTCGAAACTCTTCTTATAATTCATTGCAAAATATTAACATTTGAAACCAAATCTAATAATTTATGAATTCCTTCTTTTAAGAAATTCTGAATGCCGAGTTTTGTGTGATAAGTTGCATTCTGTCATTCAAAAACCTACTGTTTTGCGGCTATCTTGATATTAGTTCGTCTATTCTGAAGTAATAAAAACCACTATAAATTTAAATAGATCTACGAAGGTAAATGAATTAATGAATCTTAAGATTCATTTGTTTAAAATCATTCTAGAAAATATCGTATGCTTTCAAAACTTTCATATTAACTGTGTAATTCAATGTACACTGCGAAAAAAAAAAAATTGGACAGTTCTGTATCTCCCGTTCTACTGGGCCGATTGCGGTTTTCGTTTCTCGAAAGCGCGACTTAGGATATGTATTAGATTTATATATAGCATTGTTCTAACACAAGTATTTTGATCGAAAAATCAAACTTTATCTGAAGTGACATGCCAATTTTTTCCATATTTCGATTCTACGACTCAAATTATCCCAAACTGCCAAGTTTTGTAAAAATCGCACAAGTAGTTTTTAAAAAATTAGCTCTCAAAATGTTAGCTCTACTATATTAATTGAATTTGATATATATTTAATTATATCTCTTTTTTATTAAACCTATTTGATTTTTCTTTCAAATTTCGAAATTTAGGTTCATTCCAAATAAAATTCGTCCATTTTTTATGATCTAGTATTTTTAAAATTTGTATTTTTAAATAATTTTTACAAATCTGTCGAAAACATTTTGAATTATAACCTATAAAATTTTGACCACCATCTTAAAGTATATGTATTTCTAAGCATACCTGCAAAAAATTAGTGTTTTTTATTCAAAGATATACGTGAATTTACATATTGGCGCATTTTGAAATTTGGAATATTTGTTATATAATAACGCCAAATGTAGTTTACCCACTTTGTTAAAATTATTTTAAACTATGACCTAGAACAGTGTTTCCCAACCTTTTTTGCGCTATCCCCCACTTAATCTTCTCTAAAATTCCTATGCTCCCCCTAGCATGTACATAACTTTTAATAGTTAACAATTGAAATGTTCACGAAAGAAACTTGAGCGATAAGTTTTAGGCAAAATATCACTAGGAAATTTTATGAGCAAACAGACTAAGTAAACTTTCAAGAGGCATAACAGAGAACCGAAATTCAAGTACAACATAATTTTAATGAAAGTTTTTTTCTATATTATTTCAAGTATTAGTAATTATTTATTACTTAAATTAACTCTTTGAAGGGCGGTGGTAGTAACCACTTTCTCTATTGAACGTCTTATTCATTCGAGTGAGTGCTTTTCAAGACTGACCGTTTTCCTTGTAACTCACTAAATGGCAACCAAGAAACGTAAGCCTGTAGTTGATGCAGCAATTCGTCAAGAAAATAAGCATCAGCTATCGAAAAAAACATTACAATACTTTTTCGACAAAATCACCTTTATCAGTATATCTCACTTAAGTTATAAGTATGGCTTCACTGTCTCTCAAAGTTGATTCATCCATTTGCGCCAAAAAGTTTCCTGTCTTCAACTTTTCAACAAGTTGTATTTCAATATCCTTACTCAATTCATCTATTCTTCTGCTAACAGTATTGTTATTTAGTGGCACAGCTTTAACGTCTTTGTCAACTTTTTCTAGAACAGTATTAAGAAATGCTGATATTGATGGTTTGATTAAATTTTCCCTTATAGTATGACCTTTCCCAAATTTAGCAGTGAGTAATGAAATTTGATAACTATCCTCAAGAGTACGATTAACAGTTACATTTATGATCAATAAAACAGAGACTTTAATGTTTATCCTTTTTCCAAATTTTAATTTAAAGTTTGAAAATAACTGAAATCTGAATTAATATGAGCATTAAGTTTTGCCTTCAGATTTGCCTCAAAACTACCTCGCTTCACTGATTCGTTAGTCAGGCATTGTTGGCAAAAAAGACAAAAACGTGACCTTTTTTCCGCTCGTGTAGAATAAATATCTGATGTGTACACCACATGACTTCCTTGTATTATTAAATTATACGCATTTTTTTCTTGCATTTCATTTAAACTTATTGGATTGAATTAAATCTACTTTGCCGACAGCGCATAAACAACAATAGAATAAATGCATTCTTTAAAATTTACTCTAGTATTTGTTTACCATAGCGACACTCTGGCGCTAGATTCACTTAACAGTATTATATTTCGTTCATATTATAACTCATAATGCACAAAATTTATGTCATTTAAAGAATAGAATTATCTAATCGTTGCCACATGTTCTATTCAAATACTATAATAAAGCTAGAATGAAGTATAAAAGAAATTAAGCAAACAAAACAAAAAAGAAACAGTTTTTCACAGACGATTGAGTATTTCTCATTTAATTAATTCAGTTCTCACTTCGCGAAAAGGCAAAAATACATAAAAATTCAAAATATCTATATTAAAAATTACGAAGTAAATCTTAAACACTTATTTCCTCGAAAAAATTTCAGAAAGGATTAAGCATGATTTAACTGGAAATAATAAATGAAGGCGTTATCTTTGTTGTTGCGATAAAAAACAAAAGGCCGCCATAAAAAACAAAAGGCTTAGCGGCACTTAAACAACTTAAAAATTGTAGATAATTCTAAAAATATTGCATACAGATTTACTAAAGGCATAAAAACCTTAACCGGAAGATAAAAACAACTTAATTCAATCATTTTTAAAGCAAAAAAAATGTACAATTTACAAACATATAAGAGTAAAGAAACTGAGATCACCGAGCCGGGTAACAGAGTGGATATATATATAAATATATTTATATACGTTTGGTGCGGCCGATTGCAACCAAAATACGAGGTGCACATCTACATGTTATAGCAGTCCTATATACAAAATTTCAACGTTCTGAGGCTACTCGTTTTTGAGTTATGCGAGATACGTACGTTACGTACGCACGCACGTACGTACATACGTTCGTACAGAGGCCACGAAAAATTATCTTCAGAATTAATTTTAAAGCAGTTTTATAATTTTTTTGGAGGACGAGTCTTTTATTCTGTCCTTACGTACAGATATCACGCAAAACATCGTTAAATTGCATTTGATAGCGGTCAAAATGAATATTTTCGTTGAGATATGCTGCCTGAAACTTTTCGCGATTACAATACTTCCTTTTTACTTCATACAAGGAAGTAAAAAGGAAAGGAAAATAGTTTGCTATAAATTAAGAAGTTCGCTAAGTGAATTATTCTTGGCGCAAACTGAAAAAATTACGCCAAGGTAACTTTTTAATTTTCTGCATAAATGTCTCATCAAACATTACAAAATTTAATATCTCGGTATAATTTGAGTCGTAGAGTCGGAATATGGGAAAAACGGTATGTTATTTTACAAAAAGTCTGATTTTGGGTCAAAATACTTCTGTTAGTGCAATGCCATACACAAATCTAATATATATCTTAAGTCGCACTTTCGAGACATGAAAACGCAATATGAATTTCGGCAATAGGCCTAGTAGAACGGGAGATATAGAACTGTCGCCCTTTTTTCTTTCACAGTGTACATTATTATTCCTTTTTCAGGAGGAAAAAATGTGCAGAATTTATGGTAAGAGATAAAAAAAAATAACAAATACTGAATTTTTGGAAACCTTTTAGGTATTTCAGACTGTTCACTTTTTTTCCCTTGATTATATGATGATTATTTCTCTTAAGAATCTTTGAAAATTATTAATTTATTTCAAATTTTTATTTTTTCAAAATATCGCTGAATTGTTATCAAAATTACATTCGTTAGTGTTTCTATAGTCAGGGCAAATTTTGAAGTCAATGTTAAAGGAAGCTTTGCTTTTCGTTTGTTACTGCAATTGAATGATTGGTCATCATGTTTTAAGTTCCAGTTACAATTGCAAATATGAATATTGCTTCGATCAGCTGTCAAATTTGAGATTGTCTCTGGATAATAATAGAATTCGTTCCATTACCACAGTGGACGGGTAGTTGAAAACAAAGATATAATTTTAGCTTAATTATGCCATGCAAATAGAAAACAAGATCGATTTTTTTCAAGATGCGATCAGAATTGAAAACTGTTTGCATTATATCTCCTTAGGTTGATTACTAATATGAATAGTAAAAATATAATATTTAAAATGTTGTAATGAAATGTTTACAAGTTAAATGTAAATTTGTTATAAATTACGTAATACTAATTCTTTCTTTTTGAATTTCAAAAAGCTATAATCTGGAAAAAACGAATTTGTTCCCATATTGATTTAAAGATTTGATGATGGAGTGATTAAAGAAATTTTATAACGTAATAAAATGCAGAAATGTTAAGTCCTTTATATAAAAAACTGGATTTTGTTATACCTGGTTTCGTTATCTCTAAAATGCAGCATAGCATATTGAAGAAATGAGTGTCTTTCAGCTGAAGCTCCAGCAGGTTTGTTGTTCTCTTGAAATGAATTACCTTCCTTTATGTAATCGCAGGAGACGAAAAAAGTTGAATTACCCTGTAAGAGATGAATCTGATTAAAAAAATTAAGTTTTACACTAAAACGTGTATATATATATAGGCACATACATTTTTAAGATTCAAATACCAGTGTGCAGTTGATTACATACAAAATGACTAAAACAATCTCAGACATACTGGTGCAGGTTACATTTGCTCATTGAAGAAGAAATTATGGGAGGCATAACAATTAGGCAAAAAATATTAAAGGAACTGTAGGCAACAATTATTATTGGTCATAATAACTACAACTACTTCTACTAGATAATGACTACTACTTTCACTTCACCTTTAGTTTCAGTTTAGTTTCAGAAGGTTGTCATGTCATAAAATCAGTAAGGAGTTAGCGAGGGCTACAAAGAATAATAAAGATGTTATATATGAAAAATATTGATTCTTGCTTTTTGATTTTGCTATTTAAATTATTATAAAAAGAACTTAGCAAGCAACCACATACTTGGTGACCTCGGAATCATTGATAAAGATGTCAGAAAGTGAAGAATCGGCGATTAAGGAAGAAATAGCACGGGTAAGTGTTAAAATACCTCCCTTCTGGGCTGAAAAGCCAGAGATATGGTTTATCAAGTAGAAGCACAGTTTTCTATTTGTGGAATAACTGCCGAGGAAACTAAATTCAACTACTTAGTATCGCAATTGGAAGCAAAATTTGTTGAAAGTTTATGGGATATTATAAGTGACAATAGCAAAACCAAATATACTGCTGCTAAAGAACGTCTCTTGAACACTTTTAAAGAAAGTGAAAATAAACGTTTACAGAGACTGCTAACAGGCATAGACTTGGGAGACAGTAAACCTAGTCAACTTTTACAAAAAATGCGAAATCTTGCTACCGATGGCATTTCGGATAAAGTTCTTAAAACACTATTTCTGCAGAAAATGCCAGATACTGTGCGCAATATTTTAATCGTTAGTGATGAAGATATCGAAAAACTAGCTCTGATGGCGGATCGTATCATCGAAATGCAACCAAAACAAGAACTATACTGTGCCAGCAGTATTGTTTCTCCAGGAACAGTTGCTATTGCTGAATTACGACAACAAATTGCAGCTTTGGATAATAAATTCGAAAAACTAACTGTCACAAGAAATTCTCGTTCTCGCTCAAAAAATAGCAGTCGATCATCTAATAATCGAAGTAACTCTCGGAGCCGATATTAATAATCGAAGTAAATCTCGGAGCCGTTATAACCCTAATGGCAAGTACTGTTATTTCCACTTTCGTTTTCGAGAAAACTGTTTTCCTGATAGATGCAAACCCCCCTGTGCATGGAAAAACAGCTCCCCGGAAAACGAAAATCAGCAGTAGAATTAGCGGCAGACTCTGCTGCTGTAAATAAAGAAAATTGCCGTAAATTCCGCTTATTTATCACGGACAAAAATTCATGTAACTTCATTCTCTATTCATGAAACTGTAAATACAACGGGCAGCTTATGTAAATATTCTGATTTATTTGCTATGTATCCTAGTAACAAAACCAAATTTTCTTATTTCTACTGTAAAGCATAATGTGAAACATCATATTATAACTAAAGGACAACCTGTAAGTTGTAAAGCAAGACCATTAGACTCTAAACGGTTGGAAATAGCTAAAAGAGAATTCAAATATATGCTGGACAATAACATCATTAGTCCGTCCAGTTCAGAATGGGCAAGTCCCCTACACATAGTGACAAAGAAAGACGGTTCTTTCCGCCCATGTGGGGATTACAGAAGACTGAATGATTTAACTGTACCTGATCGTTATCCCATTCCTCGAATTCAAGATTTTCAACATATTTTAACTCATAAAACTATATTTTCTAAAATTGATCTCTTTAAAGCGTATTTTCACATTCCAGTAGCAGATGAAGATAAAGAAAAAACTGCTATTATCACACCTTTTGGTCTTTACCAATTCAATGTCATGAGTTTTGGTCTCAAAAATGCCCCCGCGACCTTTCAGAGGTTCATCAATGAAGTTTTTTATGGCCTAGACTTTGTGTTTCCATATTTGGATGATGTGTTGATTGCCTCTTCTTGCGAGGAAGAACATCGTTTACATCTTAAAACAATTTTCCAGCGTTTAGATAAATATGGTCTCCGAATTAATATTAGCAAATCAGTTTTGGGAGTACCTGTAATAGACTTTTTGGGCTATCAAATATCTGCTGAAGGTTCAAAACCTCTACCTGAAAAAATTAAAGCTATCACAGAATATCCGTTTCCAGAAACTATACACCAACTTCGTTCCTTCTTAGGACTGATCAATTTCTATCGTAATTACATTAAAAATGCCGCAGAAACTCAAGCTCCTCTTCATGAACTTTTGAAAGGATCTACAAAAAAAGATCGACGTAAAATACTATGGACCAATGAAACCAGAAAGTTTTGAAAAATGTAAACAAGATATTGCTCAAGTAGCGTTGATGGCCTACCCCAATTCGGATTACCCTCTGGCACTTCTCACAGATGCATCCGATTTGGCTATTGGGTCAGTTATTCAACAAAAAGAACCAAATGGATGGAAACCTATTGCATTTTTTTTCAAAAAAGCTTAATGATGCCCAGAAAAATTATAGCGCTTACGATCGCGAGCTTTTGGGTATATATTTATCCGTTAAACACTTTAAACATTTACTTGAAGGCCGCGATTTTACTATTTATACGGATCATAAGCCCTTAACGTTTGCTTTTAAGCAGAATCATAACAAAGCCATCTCCCAGACAACTCAGACAGTTACAATATATCTCACACAATTCTCTACTAACCTACGCCATATAAGTGGTCAAAACAATGTGGTTGCAGACAGCCTATCTAGAATTGAGGACATCGATTCACCTGTTGTTGATTTTGACCTGATAGCAGATGCACAAATTAATGATGATGAACTGCAACAGTTGAAATTACATTCCAAATCATTGCATATTAAACAGCACCAATTACCATCAGGAAAACTCTTATTGCGATTGCGATACCTCTACTTCTAATATCAGACCATTCATACCTCAAACTTTTCGGATGAAAATATTTAATGCAATTCATGGTTTAGCTCACCCTGGAATCCGAAGTACTGTAAAAGAGATTACTAAAAGATTCATTTGGCCGGATATAAAAAAAGATGTTAAACAGTGGGCTCAAACTTGTATCGATTGTCAGAAAAATAAAGTAACTAAACATACAAAATCAGAATATTCTCATATCAATCAAGCACCAGACGAAAGATTTAGTGTTGTGCACATTGATTTAATTGGGCCTTATTCACCTTCTAATGGATACACTTATTGTTTGACGTGTATTGATCGGTTTACCTCTTGGATGGAAGTGGTACCGTTATCAAATATCACAGCAGAAAATATAGCAAGAGCCTTTTATGAACATTGGATAACACGATTTGGTGTACCTTCTTGTGTTATTACTGACAGAGGAACTCCATTCATTTCGGAACTGTTTCGAAATTTGGCTTCGCTATGTGGAGTAAAAGTAAACCATACAACTTCTTACCATCCTCAGAGTAATGGGAAAATTGAACGTCTACACCGTACTTTAAAAGCAGCTATTAGATGTCATAATTCTCTTCATTGGACAGAAACATTACCAACAGTTCTTATGGGTTTGCGAGCTGCTCTACATGAGGACTGTAAGTATACAATAGCTGAAATGGTTTATGGCAAAACTATTAAATTACCTGGCGAATTCTTTGAAGAATCAAACATGCCAATATCTAATGATAATTTTGTAAGTAATCTTCGAAATCAGATGGCCCTTTTAAAGCCCTATCAATCCAAATCCAAATGTAAACAAAAGATTTTCATCCCAAAAGATTTGTACACATGCTCGCACGTGTTTCTGCGGGTTGACAGAGTAAAAAAACCTTTGGAGCCCCCATATGAAGGACCCTTTTTGGTACTGCAAAGAACCCCGAAATATTTTCTTCTATCAATTAAAAATAAAACAAGTTAGTATCTCTGTGGATAGGTTAAAACCAGCTTATGTGTTACAACCTAATGAACTTTTGTCTCCAACTTCAAAAAGTGATCATACATCTGTGCCAAGTAAGCAAACATCAGTGCCAAGTCAGCAACTAGAACAACCTAAAAAATTAACACGATGTGGAAGACAAGTAAAACTTCCAGTTCGTTTCAATGACGTTATTGACTCTTCTTGAACTTATAACTCTTTCATATTAATTTAAAACTTAATTATGTTTTTTTTGTGTACATAATTTCAATTTATATATTTGTATCAGTGTTATTTGTATAGATATTTGTATCTTCTCTCCCACCATGTTTTCAGAGTAACGTAACTTTGTTACTGGTAGGGGAGTGATGTAGGCAACAATTATTATTGGTCATAATAACTACAACTACTTCCACTAGATAATGACTACTACTTTCACTTCACCTTTAGTTTCAGTTTAGTTTCAGAAGGTTGTCATGCTATCAGGTTCAATGTTCCGTCTTAATTTCTTCGGGAACATGCAAGGACCTGACTCGGAACAGAGAGCTTACTAAAGCTATGTTCAATAATTGTGGGAAGTAGACAGGATACACAAGAAGGGTATACAAAACCCTTTATTTTTCTCTATTTACAATAACTTCCGTACTTCGGAATACAAAGACTCACTACTTGTGGTCAAAACGCAAGAATATAAAAAATATAACTAAACGCTACTTTAACTTTGAAATAATAAACGTGAAAGATTGGCCTTATATTAACAGGAAGCCGTATGTAGTACAGAGAACTGTGAACACTACAATACGTTTAAAATTATCAAGAGGATTAAACCTCTGGCCTGGAAGGCAACCAGCAACTGAGTAAAACTTCTTAGGTAAGCGGCCTGCTTCGACTAACTGCTTCCTCTCTTTCGCTTGGCAAAAAGCCACAACTTAAGTACTTGGCGTTCGCCAGACAAACTTTGCATGAATACATTAACGCTTATAATTCTGGCCGGAAGTAGAAAATAAGAAGTGATAGTAAAGATTTAAAATAAAATAAA